GTTTGAAATAGCAAATGTCTACACATGTACATATGCATACATATCAACATACATATATACATTCAATACACATACACACATACATGTGACTATACATACACATCTATACATATACATTCAATCGGTGTATAGAAACAGTCAAACAATGTCATCCACTTTCAATGTCAATCTCAGCCAGGGATGAGTGCACTAGAGACACCCACCAGTACAAAGCATGCGATCAAATTCAATTAGGGTTCACAGCTCACAAGGGTACATGGTCATTAGTAGATGGCCCTTCAATCTCTTCTTGAAAGAGGCTCTGGACTCTATTTCAGAAAGGTAGTTTGGCAATGAGTTCCATTCCTTTATAGCTCTATAAGACACAGAAGATTTCAGACGATTGGTCCTGGGTTTAGGTGCCAGTAGATGGCCTGATGTAGCTTGTCTAGTCTTATGGTCATGCTTGTCTCTTGTGTAAACTATTTGATCATAAAAATTAGGGATGTCCCGATCACCTTTTTTTGCTCCCGATCCGATTCCGATCATTTGATTTTGACAATTTGCCGATACCGATTTTTCCCGATCCGATCTTTATGCAATGCATTAAGAGAAAAAAAAAGACAAAAAGCGTTCAAGTTGTCCCTTAAGGTTATTTTTTTATTTAAATTGGATATTCTATCCAACATGGATATAGCTTATTTTTTTCACAGCAGCATTGGATCAGTTCAGTTGTGCAGCATTGGATCAAAACAAAATAAAGCTTATCAGTACTCGTTAGCTTACTGCTACAATTAGACACTGCGCCCTGCCCACTCTGTTGCCAGATTTGAGAGAAATAAGCAACCAGGTCTATGAAAACAAGCCCCAAAGAAGCAACACATACATGATGTTGTGTAATTTGAAACCAAAACTAAGGCCTCAGGATGACTTTAAGACTTGAACATGGTCATTTTTGTTTTGTAACATTGAATACAAAATGAAAAAAAAGTATTTAAAAAAAAAAAAAGACAAAAAAGTCCCGATCCCCGATTTTTTTCTCCCGATTCCGATCTTTTGAAAATCACGTGATCGGCTCCGATCCCCGATCACGTGATCGGATCGGGACATCTCTAATAAAAATACAGTGATCACCAAGACAAGACACAGGTGGGGAGGGAGAAAAAACACAGGTGAACACAATCAGGCAATCAAACAGGAGGAAAATCCAGAGACAGGAAGTAAGAGCAGACATAACTAGGGGGGTGCACACCTTTCAGAATAAAACGGGAAAACAAAGACAGATCTTAATAATACAAAATAAAACACAGACAGATCGTGACAGTCTTTTCTTTTCTGTCCCACAGAGACGTTCTGTGTTGCTGAATGGGTGACAACTTCTAGTCACCTCACCTGTGAAGAACATCACATTGTGCAGGACAAGTGGCCGTGATGTACCAGGAGGTGGCCTTCCTGGCAGGGACCTCCGAGCACCAGTTCACCACCTTCCACTTCCAACCTGTGGAGAACAAGAAGGAGGTCCTGGCCAAAAAGGGTTTGTTCTACAAGCGAGCCAAGCTTCTTCTCCAGCCTCAGCCTCGACAACAAGATGGAGGAGGGATCGGCCTTTCTGACGGGGCGGCCATTATCAACGTCGGCGGGATCAAGTACCAAATCCCTTGGTCTACGTTGGACGAATTCCCTTTGACTCGATTGGGGAAGTTACGAAGCTGCAGCAACGAGGATGAAATCATGGATTTGTGCGACGATTACGACAGCAGCCGAAACGAGTATTTCTTCGACCGAAGTCCGTCGGCTTTCCGCACAATCGTGTGTTTCTTAGCAGCGGGGAAACTGAGGCTACTGAGGGAAATGTGCGCCTTGTCGTTCCAAGAGGAGCTGCTCTATTGGGGGGTGGAGGAGAAAAATCTAGACTGGTGCTGCCTTAGGAAACTGAGGCTCAGACAGGCGGAGTTCAAGGAGCAACAGAGACTGGAGGAGGAAGAGGAAGCAGAGCTAACAACGCCACAATCCTGCCAGGAGAGTCCACAACCGCCTGAGGCTCCAGAAGAGACTCGAGCGGGGGGATGCATGAGGAGATTAAGGGACATGGTGGAGAACCCACACTCTGGTTTACCCGGGAAGATCTTCGCCTGTTTGTCGGTTATATTTGTAGCCATCACCGCTGTGACGCTGTGTGTCAGCACCATGCCAGACCTCAGGGAGGAGGAGGAGAGGGTGAGTCTCTTTGCTTTTACTTTCAGTCATAACTTATATATCCTTGCCCTTGTTTTTCACAGATTCAGGTATCCAAAAAGTCCAATCTCATACAGTATCTTGTTTGCCCATCTTCAGTTTCTGGAATAATGTTTTGTCTTGTGTAACCATTAGTCAATCAGCAACCAAGGTAACCCCCCCGCCCCCACCTTATCACCTGAATCTCCTCCTAGAGCACCATTGAGTTCTTTGTAACCAAATCTCTCTCAGAGGGGCGTGGGGAGGGGCTCCTTATTTTCATCTAAACTAACAGACAGAGAATCAGCACTTTGGAAACAGGGCTGAAACAGAGGGGATTATGGGTAATGCTGCAATGATCTGTTTGGTGTTTCATCCAAATCAGAGACAGGCTCTGTATATATCTGAGACCTGTGATATATTGATGAAAAACAGTATAATAGGAGACCTTTAACTTGGAGTGATCTAGCTGTTCAAAAGCAATCGTCTTCAACATCATCTATCTACCATGGAAGAAGATTCAAAGAAGTGGGGCATTCCAAAATGTCCTTAAGTACAGTTTTTGAGGAAATGCACTTCACAACATTCACCCTCTAAATATTATGTCTCCTGCAGAGTATTAGAGTTCTCTGTGTGGTGTTTAACAAAAGCTTAAATCCTTGCATGCTCAACAGATCTTCCAGTTTAACACAGCATTATACAACACACGTAAACTTAAGGAACCTTGCTCACAGGATTAGTTTTTTATTCCTAACAGCCTTAGGGATGAATGCAGAGGCTACAGTAGGATTCAGATGATGTTGATGCAGCACACAGTCTTCCTCCATTGTAAATCAAAGTGACAGAGACAGAGGCGAAGGCTCAGGGACACCAAGGCTTACTCTCCTTTCAATTGAATAGCAGATTAATGTGGATCTCCTCGCAATGTTTCTGCAGCACACATTGCTTCATACAAATCAAACTCCCCCCAAATCTATGCAGTAATTGAAAGTGCCAACACAACATTAAGAAACATCTTTTTTTGTTTTGGGATTCAGATTCAAAATCCCACAGATATTCTTTCCGTGCAGTTGATTTTAATTGACCTGCTTTCGAAAATGAATATGAAATAAGATGAAGTGAAAATGAAATAAACTCATTGTGTTATATAACATGATGATTATGGAAATTGTAGCCATGAAGTCTTAATCCGTAGAGTAAAAAGCGTGTTTACCCAAAACCATATCTACACACCAGTTGACCAGAAAACAAATTAGGAGCTTTAAATGGAAATTAAATGGATTCATATTGTGTGTCGTCTCCATGCTGAAGCTTCATTTAAACAGATGTATTTTAACTGTAGACTCTACATGGCTGATTAATAGAGGCATGTATTTTTTCTCCCACAGATTTGGTGTTTAAAATGATAGAAAATGTGTTACTCCTGAAGGGGAATTTCACAATTCAACATGAGCAAACTTCTCTCATAAATTTTTTTTTGAAAACAACTGTATTTAAAAAAAAGATTTATTCCCGATTACGGTCTCTGTTTTAAATACTACTCCTGCTGATGTTCAGGTGTATATCAGTATGTAGTGTCTCTACTTTAAAGAGTCCTCTCCTGCTGATGTTCAGGTGTATATCAGTATGTAGTGTCTCTACTTTAAAGGGTCCTCTCCTGCTGATGTTCAGGTGTATATCAGTATGTAGTGTCTTCTTTAAAGAGTCCTCTCCTGCTGATGTTCAGTTGTATATCAATATGTAGTGTCTCTACTTTAAAGAGTCCTCTTCTGCTGATGTTCAGGTGTATATCAGGATGTAGTGTCTCTACTTTAAAGAGTCATCTCCTGCTGATGTTCAGGTGTATATCAGTATGTAGTGTCTTCTTTAAAGAGTCCTCTCCTGCTGATGTTCAGGTGTATATCAGGATGTAGTGTCTCTACTTTAAAGAGTCATCTCCTGCTGATGTTCAGGTGTATATCAGTATGTAGTGTCTTCTTTAAAGAGTATCAATATGTAGTGTCTCTACTTTAAAGAGTCC